GACAATGTTAAATTGATATAATAAAAAAATGTAATTTTAAAACTTCATTGCGGTTTACCTTCCTTGGCCAAAAAATGATTACTGCAATTGCAGAATTTCAAATGTATCGAAAATGCACATTCCACCACACATGTCGAGAAACTATAAAAACTATAGAGTTCCAGATGCCGTCCCAATTCAGTGAGCTCAGTAAAGAAACGACACTTCCGTTCTTCCATATCAATACTATCCAAACTGGGATGATTGTAGACTTCCATGGCAGTGATAATAATTTCTTTATTCAAACCCAAGAGCACCGTTTCGCGGATCATACCTTCAGCTGTGAGAAATGGTATTTCAAAGGGTGAGTGTAGAAATAATTGTATATCGGCTGTTACTTCGAAGGTTAGGAAGCCGGCACTCACTTCACGATTATTAATATATTGGATTTCGGAAATTTTGCTGGAATATACAAAAAAAGTGATAAAAATGAATAGGATTGTATGGTTTAAGTTGAAAAAACTTACTTTGCTTGATTGGAATTAAAGGCGAAACAGAGTCCATATTCAGTTCGCAGTGGTTGGAAATGGTCACAGCACTCAATAAAATTGTTGTTGTATTTGCAATTACCAATCAATTCCGTACAATTGCTGCGAAACTAAATGAAAATTGGGAATGTATAATTGAAATTGAAACCAGTAAGGAAAGGATTTGGAAAATTAAGTCTAGACTGAATTCAGTGAGCTATGAATTACAAAACCGATATTGTTGCCGTACAGGAAATGCGATGGAAAGGGACAGGCGTAAGTAAACCAGACGATTACGCACTGTATTATAGCTGTCATGAAACAAGACATACATTTGGCTGCGGATTTATGGTTAACAGAAGAATAAAATACCTCGTCTACAGATTCACTCCAGTAGATGAGCGTCAGCCTTACTTGCGCCCATGTTCCCACGAAAGACAAAGATGAGCAGACCAAAGTCATATTTAATAAACGCCTAAAAACAGAATATGACTTCTGCATTAAAATCCTTGGAGATTTTAATGCAAAAATAAAAAGAGGAAATATAATAATAAACATCCGACAACGGCATGAGTTTGATTGACTTCGCGGCAGCAAAAAAAAACATGTTTAGCAGCACCAGATTCAATCATCTCGGTATATACAAGGCCACATGGATTTCTCCTGATCAAACAAGGAGAAAACAAATTAATCATGTTGTGATAGACGGAAGGCATTCATCCAGTGACTTTCGATCGATCCGAGGAGCGAATATCGATTCGTACCATTACCTTGTAGCAACCAAGGTTTGCACTCGTCTTAATGTAGCAGCAAAGGTGAGATCTAACACAACACGGAAACTCGACGTCGAAAAGCTGTAAAAACAACAGGTACACACGAAAAGACACACGAAAATCATATCGTCACATTGACCTATTCGTCGACTATAAAGCCGCATTCGACAATCCTATCCGCTCAGAGGTGTTTAAAGCCAAGACAGGGTTCGGCATTCCTGCTAAATTAATAGCCTATGCAGGATGACTTTAACTGGCACAATGCCAGCAGTTAAAGTCGGAAAGTACCTCTCGAAGCTTTTCAATACCAAACCAGGATTCAGACAAGGTGACAGTTTGTCGTGTGACCTTTTTACTATCCTGGTGGAAAAGGTCATACCAGGGGCTAAGGTGAACTGGAAAGACACCCTGTACACCAAACAGCACATGTTACTCGCCAACCCCTATGGCATCGATATAATGGGTCGAACATTGTGAGCGTAACCGCCACCTTTGAACAAATTGAGAAGGAGTCTGGCAAGTTAATTAATTCTGTACATTAATTAAGGTGTGAGCCAAACCTCACCTGAAATCGGATGATTTTATATATGTGGGAGCTATAATCTGTACTGATTTTCACCAATTTCGTCCTTAGACCAATTAAATGAGCCGTGCCAAATTTAATTACAACGAGTAAAAAATCCGAACATGCAAAATTATTGCCACTTTGTTGAAAAAATCGGAATAAACCTTAAAAATATCGTAAATCCTGCGATACCTTTACATATAAACATTACTCAAAACATGACCTATATCGACAATTTTTTTCGAAGATTTTATTTTTACCCTCAAGTAATCTGGTATGTCAAATTATAGCCAGTTCTATTAGAAAATGCGGTTTAAACCTTCAAAATGCCTAAATTGATGCCTAATTTGATATGGAGAATAATTCAAATGGAATGGTGTTTTTCACCCTTAAAGAATCCGGAATTTTACGGCTACAATTCCAAAACTTTGAACAATTTTCGATACCAAACTGTCTAGGAGTTGTAACAATGCCATTTTCGGACAATATATTTGTATCCTTTCACAAAAGCTAAATTACAGTCACTTTGGTTGCACAGAAAATGGGGAAGGGTTGTAATATGGGGGCTATACCAAAACATAGACCGCTCATCAACATAAACTTAAAATTTACTTACCATCGACAATAATTGCGTAAAATTTCGTGGACATGTTATATTTTGACTTTCACATGCGTCACACGAGGTACAGCTACCTTGAAAGTACACAATTTCACCAACCACATCGTCCAGTAGCAAATCATGATCGACACCAAAATACTGTTCACTCAGATCCCATAACTTTTCACCATTATACAACTCACATACAGTCACGGCCGGAAAGGAGGTATTCCAATTTAAACTTCCATGGAGAAAAGGAACATTTTATAAAATCACGAATTTAATTGCTGAAATTTATTTCTTTACTTACAACAAAGTATCCAAATTAAATGATATCTTGGTGGTTTGGAAATTATTATATAAACCCGTGCTGATATTTAAATACAATGGCATTGCAATGCCCACAAATGTTAAATAGAAAATCCTGAAATTTTTTGATTATTTAATATTTCGATTCTTTATATATTTTTCTCTCTCACATTTTCGGTATAATTTTCAGTTTTTCCTTCCAGTTCATCTTCCGGCAGCGTTCGTTGTTGGCAACTAGTTAATGGAATTTCCATAACTGTTTTGGTAGCCAAAATTTTTGTTTTGTTTTCAATTAATAACCAACACCAAAATAAATGTCAACGAACCAATCGCTTACCACAACAATGAAAATATTATTAGGTCAGGAAGCGCAAGATAATAAGGACAACAATTAAGGGAAATACCAAAGTAGCCACTAGTGAATGGTACTACTGTACATGATAACATGAAATTTCACAAAAGTATATATGGGAGCTATATCTAAATCTGAAGGGATTTGAATAAAACTTGGCGCTTGTTTAAAAATGCACGCCTTAGAACCGACTATAAAAATTGTTTAAAAAATCCACGTCTTAGATTCTGCAATGAGGCTATACAAATAGATTAAAAATCCAAGGCTTAGATTCTGCAATGAGGCTATACAAACTGTTAAAAAATCCACGCCTTATAGTCTGCCATGAGGCTATAAAAATTATTTAAAAAATCCACGCCTTATAGTCTGCCATGAGGCTATAAAAATTATTTAAAAAATCCACGCCTTATAGTCTGCCATGAGGCTATAAAGATTGCTTAAAAAAATTCACGCCTTATAGTCTGCCATGAGGCCATAAAAATTGTTTAAAAAATCCACGCCTTATAGTCTGCCATGAGGCTTATAAAATTGTTTAAAAAATCCACGCCTTATAGTCTGCCATGAGGCTTATAAAATTGTTTAAAGAATCCACGCCTTATAGTCTGCCATGAGGCTTATAAAATTGTTTAAAAAAATCCATGCCTTATAGTCTGCCATGAGGCTTATAAAATTGTTTAAAAAATCCACGCCTTATAATCTGCCATGAGGCTATAAAAATTGTTTTTAAAAATTGTTTAAAAAAATTCACGCCTTATAGTCTGCCATGAGGCTATAAAAATTGTTTAAAAAATCCACGCCTTATAGTCTGTCATGAGGCTATAAAATTTTTTTTAAAAAATCCAAGGCTTTAATTTTTTTTTAATGTCAAGTCAATAGCCATTGCAAAGTTTCGTGTCTAAAAAAGGGATTATTCTTCTGGACTCGGCTTTGATGTAGCCCTATATAATCCGATTTTATTTTTTTCGCATTTAGTTGGTGGTGGTTGAGAATTCATTTTAGATGTTATCTTTTGACAAAGAGCAGCTAGTGGCATTACAAAAGCTATCAATACATCCAAAAAAAAGTGATAGTTAGGTACCATTATTCGGTATTTTTGGCACGTTTTTTAGCCGGGTTGGTTCTCATTGGGTGTCAAATCTTCCTCCAAAAATGTGCCACAAAAGAGCGCGCCATTTATGAAGTTTCCGAACGATTGGTATAAAAATTTCGTCCAGGTCGAACTTAACGTCTGTTTTACTTCTATTCGTTTTAACTAATAAGTTAGGGACGTAACTAATGGTATATTACTAGTGCATGTAGTCAATGGCCAATACAACATTTAATTGCTTTAGTATGGTTAAACATATGCGCATATATTAACTGTATTATACACACACAAGTTAATTTTTGTATTATCCTGTGCTGTCCTTTACGGAAACACGTGATTTGTAACTCCGACTCATTAATGTTAGAGAATTAAATTAACGTAACCTGTTTGCTTTAATAATTATGTTCTCTTTAAAATGGTAGCTAATTCCGAGTCGATGTAATATGAGAGAGGACATTAATAATTTCCAGCTCAGTATTCTCTTTAGACTATTATTGTAGTTAGAATCATTCACTATGTCGAATCTTCATTGTTTAGCATAGACGGTGATAAAAATCGGTTGCTTTTCTCAATGCTTATTTCCCTGAAGATGACTGCCGAAGACAGTCTTAATATTGGAAAATAAAATAAACAAAAAGAAAAAAACAAAACTAACGATTTTTCAATTGACCTACAGCCCAACAAAATCACAGTTCAACAATAACAACAACGTTATATTGTTGTACTATAAAAAATTTACAAAATTTTGTAATTAATGTGATTGTGTTTTCGTATAATCTTTATTTGTTGAAATGTAAATGTTTTTTTTTTTCAGCGCACAATATGATGTGTTATCCATGGCATAAAATTGCTAACATTCGTATAGACACCCGGCAAATTTTGATTCAATATACAAGCATTACGTCCCGATGCCACCACGCCGTATTGTATAAAACGCTTTTTATCTTTATATGGACCGAATTGTATCAATGGACCACCGCTGTCACCGCTGCAAGTGTCACTGCCAATTACGTCGTCACCGGCACACAAATGACGCGTTTCACTCAATTCAATTGAATATTTAACGCTGCACGTCGAGACGGGTAATTGGGTGACTTGGGCTTTAAGTAGAATGTTTGATGTACTGCCTGTTGAAAAATGAAATTGCAAAAAAAAAATATATATATATATATATATTATTAATATTTCTTACAAATATATATCGTTGTTACATACCTCTTTCGGTAAAACCCCAACCGGCAATTAGAAAATGATCCTCTGGTCGTGTCTGAACAACATTCACATTAATGGGCAGACAAATTGGTTCAATGTGTTCTGTGGAAAATAAAATGACAAACATGTATAACATAAATAAGTTATAATTTAAAAATACAAAAAAATAACAAAAATATTTACTTGAGAATAATATATTTGATAACTATTTCTACTCACTTTTAAATTCAACATTACGATCCAGCTTGATTAGAGCAATATCATTGACATGTTTCCGTTTGTTATACTCAGGATGCGTTACAATATTTTCAATGCCAAAATCTTCCACCGGTGGATTACATTTTATCTTTGGTCCCGTCTTCATGCAATCCTGTACTGTTGATATGTCATGTTCGCCTAGACGAACACCAATTCTGAAATAGAGAAATAAAAACGGAAAGGAATGTTCAAAAGCCTGTGATATCCTAAAATTTTTATTATAACCCACAGTAATATGTATACCGATTAAGATTTAGCTTAATTAAATTTTTTTGGTTCACAAAATGTCAAGAGTTGATTTAAATCATGATACACTACTGACAATTTTTTCACTATGAGATGGGTATTGAATATAACTAAACATGGGTCTAGGGTTCAGAAACTATTTCAAATGATACGAGACATTATATGCCGATGGTTTATTTTTCTCTGAAACCTCTTAATGTTGGCCGGGCCGAACTTTTTATACCCTCCATCAAAATTCCACTATAGATCAGATTTTCATACTGGGCCAAATACCAAATATGCAGGATAAATTTTACTGGCACAAGGTAAGCAGTTAAAGTCGGAACGGACCTATCGGAGCCCTTCAATACCGAAAGAGGAATTAGACAAGGCGACAGTTTGTCGATATAGAACTTCGAACGAATTGAGAAGGAGTCTGCCAAAGTGTAACTAGCAGTAAATGGTGAGAAGACTAAGCTGAAGTCCAAGTAGACCCAACCATACTCTACAAGACGTTGATACTACCCGTGCTATTGTATGGATCTGAAGCATGGGTATTTGCGCAAGCAGATGAGGCAGCTCTTGGAGAGTTTGAGAGAATAAGAGTCTCACATCTGGCTCTGGTATGAACTATGATTATTGATTTCGCTAACAGAAGTGCCATTAACATGAAATTTGATGAAATAAAATATGTGAACAGACTTAGATCAATCCATAAACATGTCTTTCGTATGTTACAATGGGTCAAAAATATCAAAATGCTCAATTTTGTACGATGTGCAATATTTTATGTCAATATTACAAACATAAGGAGTTTGGTGCACCCTTTATTTAAATTGGATATAAAAAAACTATATCCAAATATGAACCGATTTCAACAAAACTTGTCACAGATTAGGTTATACTAATTTCTGCAGGTTTTATTCCTTATGGCCATATTTTGGATCTTACTTAAAATCGGGCGAACATATATATATGAGAGCTATATCTAAATCTGAACCGATTTTCAAGAAATTTTACACACATCATTCTAGACTCAATCCAGTATGTTATGCCAAATTTCGTGCAAATCGAAAGATATATAGGGACTTTGGTATATCATTTACATTATATCGGGCGAAAATATATATGGGATCTACATCCAAATCCGAATCGATTTTCAAGAAATTTTACACACATCATTCTAGACTCAATTCAGTACACTATGCCAAATATCGAGCAAATCGAAAGATATATAGGGACTTTGGTGAACCATTTATCTTAAATCGGTCCAAAATATATATGGGATCTATATCCAAATCTGAAACGATTTTCAAGAAATTTTACACACATCATTCTAGACTCAATTCAGTACACCGTGATTTCCTTTGGTGATTTCATGTACTCGTCAAGGACTTCAAATCGGGTGGTGCAGTGTTATACATCACCAATACCATAAGGAAATTTGGTATACAAATTGTGTTTCTGTAAATTATTAATCCACCATCGCATATGTATTTGCTAAGAAAGAGAATAAAAAGGTGTGTTCAATGATGACGCAAAATTCAGAAACAAATTTGCAAAACACCCAAAAATATAAACATGTATTTGATTGTGGTTTGATAAGTATTTTTAAGAATGGAATTCCCAAAATACATTTCAAATACCTGAATTGTTTTGCATTTTTGTCGGGTGAGGTTTTAGGTGATAGGGAAACCCCCAAATTATCAGTTATTTCTTATGTGTATGTATGCACACGCATTTGACTAATACGTCTTTGTTTATTGCTCCAAGTTCTAAATTTTTAATGTGAGCTTTGCTTTGCCACAAATGGAAAATACGACATATTACAATATTTTAATTAAATACTGTATCACATGGAATTTTAATGTGGTTTATACATATGTATTTATTTTAGTATTAAAAAAAACATACAAACTTATACTTTTGAGCATGTATAACCCGCAAAAAGCTTTAAACATATATTGAAAACAATATGCTGAAGTACCCCATATTGGACATTTCAAATTGCAGACTATTTGGTTCTAATATCTAGTCAAAACCCTAAAAAAATGCATAATATTGGATGTTGCACATATGAATTTGAATATATTAAAGAAATTCAGTGAGGTCTCGAACTCATTGAGAAGCTGAAATTCGACTTATACGCAGAAAAAATTCAATATATTTATTTGTGTATTTTGAAGTTCCCAGAATTTTTTTTAGCATTTAATTTTTTTTTAATTTAGAAAATAAATAAGACCTGCTAGGTAATTTGGGATTTTATATAGGTAGAAACTATATAAAATCCTAAATTACCAAATTTTAAACTTGCCAAAGTATTGGGCGCCATAGAAGTCATCCATTAAAATGTGAAACGATGTTATCCATTTTCATTACAACAATGAATAATATTATTGTGATAAATATAACCATAATTAACCTGATTCCCACATGATCACGAATTATGTATTCACCCATACTTACACTGGATCCAGGGTATTGACACAATGTGCCGCCGTCAGAATATAACGATGGGTTATCAATGAACCACCGCAACGGAATTGATCACCAGATGGACCACGATATTTTATTAATGCCATCCATGGAAATTCGGCCAACATTGTTGCATTACCACCGGCAATGCGATTTCCATTATCCGTCCCACAACGCAGTCCATTTAGTATATCAAAACCTTAATAGAAGAATATGAACTAATTTAAGATATGATATTCTAAAAAATCAGGTGTTCCTGACATACCTGCTGCATTCAATTGTCTGTGAAAATCTTCCGTTGGATTTAAATATAAATTATTTCCCGTAACCGACGATTGTTCCGTTGTTGACCTAAGAATTGTATCGTGTTCGCAACAGAGTCGTACCTAAAATAAAATTGCGATTAGATGAATTGAATGAATAAATCGTGTATTAAATATATCAATCCTATTGCAGAGATCCCATAAAATTCACACATATTAATGACCAGATGTCGATCTAGCAATGTCCGATGATCGAGCACGTATTATTACTTTGGTATAGCCCTCATATAACGATACTCACAAATATTATATATTTTATAAATTTTGTAGCGCTTCAATACGATTGAATTGAGAAGGAGTCTACCAAAGTGGGTCTGGCAGCAAATGGCAGGAATACAAAGCTTTTGGCATCAACTCGCGACACATTTTTTGAGAACAAGTGTTTATATAGGCCCATGTTTTGATACAGCACCCGACAAAAAGTTCCGCCAAATTTTCAAAATTATTTTCGTTTGGTTCAACATTTTATACAGCCCCACACGCAATCAATCAATCTTCGAATATTTATACCCTTCACCATACTGTGGTACGGGTTATTATGTCTTTGTGCATATGTTTGTAACAGGCAAAAGGAATAGACTCAGGAGAGACACAAGGTTCCTTTTGAGAATACGCATAGAATCACTTTCTGAGTCGATTTATACATGTCATTCTGTCTGTCCATGTTAAATTGTAAATAAAGTACAGATCGCATTTATAATCCGAATTGGATGAAATTTGGCACAGTTTATTTTTTAACCCAACGACGAACCCTGTCGAAATTGGGAAAATCGGTTCAGATTCAGATATAGATGTCATATGACCGATTTACTGTAAATGGTGCAGCAAAGTCCCTATATATCTTTCGAATTGCACGAAATTTGGCATATCATGCTGAATTGAGTTTAGAATGGAAAAATCGGTTCAAATTTAGATATAGCCTCCATATATATTTTCGTCCTATTCGTCTAATATATCCTTCGATTTGCACGAAATTCGGCGTAGCGTACAGAATTGAGTCTAGAATGACGTGAGTTCAGTTTCGTGATTGGTTCAGATTGAGATATAGCTCCCATATATACTTTTGTCCGATTTAATGTAAAAGGTACACTAAAGTGCCTTTATTTCTTTCGATTTGCACGAAATTTGACGTAGCGCACTGAATTGAGTCTATAATGATGTGTGTTAAGTTTCGTGAAAATCGATTCAGATTTAGATGAAGCTCCCATATATATTTTCGTCTGATTTTAGGTAAATTGTGGACACAAAGTTTGTCGATTGACACACAATTTTGTAAAATGTACTGAAAATAATAAAAATTAATCTCTGGCAAGTTTCATTGAAATCGGTTCAGATTTAGATATAGCTCCCATATATTTTCGTTTGATTTTAGGTAAATGATGCATTGTTTGTCCGATTGACACGAAATTTTTCACAACGTATCAAATTTATTCAATGCCAGATTTCCGACCAGAGTGCCTGCAATTTGGAACATTATTTTTTTTTAGATTATGAACTATACATTAGCATAGTCCCCATACAAAAAGTCACAACCGATTTATGGAATTTTGAATGAGGAGGCCGAAAATAATGAAGTTTTTTTACTAGTATTAATTTAAAGCACTTTAAATTGATTTGTTTTTCATCCAATTGTCAGTACCGCGGCGCAGTTAAGGAAACAAAAAATATATTTCTGATACATATATCCCTATATCATCTGCATTTCCGCAATAACATTAGGTCGTATCACTATATATAGCATCAAAATCAGTTTCTTTCACATACTTACAATCTTGTCATTATCCTGAGAACATTTTGCTTGATATATATATTGTCGTAATATCTTTGGTAAATTTCCATTATATTTCGCGTTCCAATCATATAGAAAGGAGCATTGTTTATATGGTACACATAAACCCTGTGCATTGAGTGGTGTCCGACATGGTTCGTCTTCTTCTTCCTCGTCTAAACAACAAGAAATATTTTTGTATCACTTATCCATCAAATTAACCGAGTAAATTAGCTTTGGAATGCTTACGAGCTTTAGCTATGATGCAAAATATCAGTAAAATAAAATATTTGTTACAATCCATCAAAGCGTTTCGATCAGTGGATGTATGAAATTCAACTGAGAGCTTTTTATCATTCGAGCGATATTTTATTGTTTGGTTTATTTATAACGAGATTTCGTTCCGCAATTTTTATATGACGTATTTAATTTATCAAAACAAAAAAAAATGTTGTGGGATGTAGCAGAGATGGGAAATTACAATTATTAAAAAGAATGGGTCTATTTTGCTATTCCGATAATGCAAAATTCCATTTGCGCAAATGTGACTGTAATAATGAATGTAAGGGGGGTGTGGCAATATTGCAGAGATGTTGAAATAAGTTAGTGATCTAGAACTCAATACAAATTCGAGTTCTTGCTTGCAAACCGATCTAGAGAGAATTCCATGCATATCCGAAAAGTTAACCATGGGTTTTTCTCGTTCCATTTTGCATGTTACAAACATATATACAAAGACATAATTCCCTGTACGACAGGACAATCCATATAGAAACTTGTTGAAGGCCCTAGCCAATTTTTTAGCTTTTAGTTTTCTCTTTTTGTATATCAACATATTACTAAAATCCGCAATATTTAAAAATCGGGTCCATTATTGTTAAACAATATGATTAAGGAACTTGAAATCGATGAAAATAATCAGAATAATCCATTTCGTTGCCTACGTCATCGGGTACTCGGAAAACCAAAAAGTTTTCGTTCAGAAGTCTCTCCATCCTAAATGAGTGAAGGGACCATTTAACCTTGTCGCAGTTGAATGGTATTTAATTTGAAGAACGTTTACTTTCAACGTCCTAGGTTACACACAAGCATAACATGAAGGTTAAAACATATTTATTTTATTGTCTTTAGTACCAACAAAACTATTCGAATGGCGCCCAAAATAAAACATACAAATGTTAAGCGCCATTCGAATAACTTTATTTGTTTTGAACACTCTTTGAAATTGTTCAGCAGAGTTATTAAACTTAAACTTATAAACAACTACTAAAAAGTCATTAAATAATCGTTCAAATTACAGACACTTAGGTTGAAAAACTGAGGTTAGAACTTCAATATACCGAAACCAGTAAGGAAAGCAGTAAAGTCGGACGGGGCCGACTATATGATACCCTTCACCACTATGGGTATATTAAACAAGACTACTAGCATGAAATTGGATGAAATAAAATATGTGATATTTATCTATATGTGAATCTACCTAGATCTATCTATAAAGTATGTAAATCGACTTCAAACAAATATAAATAGGTCAACCATTGGGCTATGTCTGTACTTCTAGAAAACACAACTACGTAATTCTATGCTTAATTTTGTACGTTGTGCAAAATTTGATGTCAATCTGACTAACATGAATAGCATGATGCCCAATTTACTTGAAATCGGCCGAAACTATATATCGAAGCTCTATCCAAATATTAAGCGATTTCAAACAAACTTGTCACTGGTTAGGTTATACTAATTTCAGAACGTTTTGTTCCTATTGGTTCCTTGGTGCGTCAATTACTTATAATCAATCTATAATAAAAGGGAGCTATATTAAAATCTGGACCGATTTTCACGAAACAAGGCAGACATCACTCTAGGCTCAATTCAATACGTTATACCAAATTTCGTGCAAATCAAAAGATATTTAGCGACTTTGGTGTACCATTTATATGAAATCGGACGAAACTGTATGTAGGAGCTATATAGAAATCTGGACCCATTTTCTCGAAACTTGGCAGACATCACTCTAGGGTTAATTCAAAACGTTATGCCAAATTTCGTGCAAATCAAAAGATATATAGGGTCTTTGGGGCACCATTTACATGAAATCGGACGAAACTATATATGGGAGCTATATCTAAATCTGGACCGATTTTCACGAAACTTGGCAGACATCATTCTGGACCTAATTGATTAGGCTGTACCAAATTTCGTGCAAATCGAAAGTTATATAGGGACCGTTTACATTAAATCGGTTAAATATATATATGGGAGCTATATCTAAATCTGAACCGATTTTTCCCAATTTCAATAGGGTTCGTCCTTGGGCCGAATAAGTGACCTATGCCAAATTTCATCCAATTCGGATCATAAATGCGACCTGTACTTTGTTTACAATTTAACATGGACAGACAGACAGACGGACGGACGGACGGACATAAATCGACTTAGAAAGTGATTCTATGCATATTCTCAAAAGGAACCATGTGTCTATCTCGTTTCCTTTTGCCTGTTACAAACATATGCACAAAGACATAATACCCTGTACCACAGTGTGGTGAAGGGTATAAAAATGGAACGGGAACTCTATGTGAGGGGTTATATGAAATTTTGGACCTATATAGACATTTTTCCTCACGGAATGCCAAATTACAGTCACTACATGGAAAAATGCTGTTAAAACCTTCCAAATACTGACCATTGGGCTTTACTCTGATTTTGGCGCTATAGTAAAACATGGGTCGATTTTGATAATTTTCTGCTTAAATAAATTTCAGAACAACCCTTTATATCAAATTTCATTTACATCGAAAGAAAAATACTGTAAAAGTATTCAAAATACCGAAAATGGGTCGAACCCGTATATAGGGCCTACACCAAAACGTAAACTGATATTGGTAATTTTTGGTAAGAAAATTTTTTTCCAACTCGGTGGAAAAAATTGGTATTAATATTTTAAATTTGGGGTCTAATTGGATAAGACATGTTTTTATTAAAAAATCCCAATATTGGTCCCCCATATAACAAAACCTCCCAAATTTAGATATTATGGCCAGTTTGGACACGTTTTTCCCTTTAAGTGTATGTAATTAGGTATTTTGATTTATCATCGATTAATACATCTTCCTACCAAAAATATCAATATTGGTCCATTTTATATTTTGGCTTTTCGTTGAGTAGGAAAGTTCACTACCAAAAATTATCAATATTTGTCCAAATTCCGAGTATTCTCTATATAAAGGCAGCGCCCATTATTCGGTATTTTGGAAAAAGGGAAAAACGTGTCCAAATACCGAAAATTGAGGGTATCGTTATATGAAGGCTATACCAAAACATCGACGGATAGATATCATTTTCAATAGTAAATATCCTTGGAGTAGTAGCAATGTATTTGCGAAACATTTCCCCTCCTTTAAACATTATGAACATTTTCATGATTTCAACAACAGAAGGACAAGTCTAAATTGTCACAGAATTTGGTTCACCGGAGATTTCTCAATTCACTTGATACACTTTTGGTTATTCGTTCTTATTTCTTTAGTTTTGACTACTTATTTCGACTAAAAACAGGCTGAACAGAAAGTCATTTTCAATATCATACAACTTGCTTTAGTCCTGCGGTACAGTTATCGTGGATATTTCATTCCCTCTATGTGCTACTCACCACAGCTTCATTGTCTCGCGAACATCTCAATTGCTGTATATACGGATAGATATGCTGCGGTACATTTCCCTGATATCTCTCGTGTAGTCTTTTAATTAAACTACACTGATTGAAGGGTACACAATGACCCTGTGAATTATTCGGCATGCGACATAATTCCTCTGAAACAAAAAAATACAAAGATTTAATTTCTTAATTAATTTCACACAATTTCTTTGCATACACACACACATGCACACAATGCGTTCTTTGTCACTTACGGGTTTTTACAGAATGTATTATCAATGCAATAACAACAACAAAATTAACACAATAAACTAGTTTTACACGATTCATAACTTTGACCGTGAATTTAACGAATCTCATCAATGTTGTGCGTTGAATGTTTGCCGGTAAACTGTGAGATTCCGAACCAGTGAGTTAGAATATAAGTGAGTAATGCAAAAAAGTTGGATTTTTCTGTTTACAAGTTATCAGAATTTGTCTAGGGTCGGGTAAGAAAAAATCCCGCACAAGATTTTTTTTCGTTTTTTTTAATCTTAATGTCGTTGACTTGCAATTTTATTCAAATCGAACAGGTATTAATGTGCTAATGCAGTGGAAATTTTTTAGTGTGACAGATTTTTCAGAACCACCTTAATTAATTGTGAGATCTGAGAATGTTTGATATAAGACAGGGTCACACATTTGTCGTTGATGTTAGTTAATTTCAATGTGCATATAGACCAGCTTTTTTCTAAAAAAATACATCAAAGACATTTCTGAGGGCTTCAAGTCGGAAAATAAAATGAATGGGTTCAAAGAAAAAGGTCTATAAACTAAAGAACCTCAAAAGGAACCCTTCTGGACTAATCTAAAAATATATAGAAAACATGCCTGGGCCTTCAAAACTCATTCGTTAAATCAATTTATTTTTCGTCTTCCTTAATGAATTGTTCATCCCAAATCAGTTACTCTTTTCTTGGGTTCTTATAATGACGTTCAGTGCGTTTACACATTGATTATGATGACTCAGTTTTTTAAAGAGTATCCGCCCTGTTCAAACCTGTATTTATATGGATGCTTACAGCACTATGCAACAGAATATTTGGGATACTGGAAAATTGTACGAAATTTGATTTTGTGACTCCAAGAATGTTTTAAAACATGTAAAAAAGGAGCTAAGTTTGATCGGATCGAACTTTTAATACCCTCCACCACGAGTATTGCATCCTATGGATTTATACCATTCAAGACTTTAATAGGGGAATATGTTATTCGAATGTTCATCCTCTGATAAAAATAACACATCCTCTGATAAAACAAAACAAAATGATAACAAATAGAAGACACGTGTATTGGCATTTTGAACGTTTACGCCGGGTGGCAACCTAAAAAAGCATCGCAATATTTCCCTTTTTCAAGTCGTTTTAAAATATTCTGATGATGAGATGAGATTTCTCAAAATTCTTGCCTTATATGTATATAGGGTCATTGGCAAATGCGATGGATATTTTAGTTAACCCTAAATCTACGCTCTGAAGAGGCAGTTTAGGTCCCATTTTCCAGAAATGAATGAAAACTCATTTAAACTGGGGTCGGAATATTATAAAAAAAAATGTTCACCATAAACTTTTATTATGAATATAGAATATACCAAAAATTCGAAAATCAGCCTAAACATGAAAAAGCTTAAAAATATCAAAAAATTTAGGGTTAAAACCGATCGTATTCCGAGTTTGTGACAATTTTTCCCACTAGATGTCGTTTTAGAAGGATGTTATAAAGGACACACATTTTCTCCATCAAATTTTAGTATTAGTCACTGAACAAGAGAAATCGGTATATAGTTTTTTAAATAAGTAAACAAGTGGAGTTAAGTTTCATTGGATCGAACTTTTAATACCCTCCACCAAGAGTTTTGCATGGATTCAAATTGTTCGGGACCTTAACCCTTTAAGCCCGAATTTTTTTCCGCAATCTTAGAACAAATTTTTGTTCACAAATTTAATGCAACTATCCTAAATAGGATATGCACAAAATTTGACATCGATATATCCTTGCATTCTTTCGGAAAAATTAAAGTCCAATATCAAGAAAACCAAATGCAAAATCGTCAGAAAAATCATTCTAAATTATTCTCTATATTCAATTTACTAGAATCAAAAATAATTCTGAGGATAGAATTTGTACAATTTGAATACGAAGCGATTTAAATGATTTGGACTGTATACACAAATTAGTACTGTACACAAATTTACCCTCTTCTCTATATTGAAAAGCTCACAACTTTACCAATATTTTGAATTTTTTTGATTTTTCTTTTGATATGTGTCGTCCATAATCAGGTCTTGACATATGAAATCGAAATAATACATATCTACTATCTGCATATAAAATATAAGCTCTAAAACATTTTGTTGCCTGTGGGCAACATTGGGCCACAAAGGGTTAATATGGGAATATGTTATTCGGTTGTTCATGCTTTGAAAAAAAGTACTGTGCAACACAAAAAATAATTCTCGGGAAATTCCAAAAATAAAAGCAAAATGATAACAAATAGGAAACACGTATGTTTAATTTGAAAGTTATCGCCGGGAGGTAACCTAAAAAGCCATGACATTTCAATACATTTGAAAATATTCGGATTAAGATTTCTCGAAATTGTTTAGGTATATATGGTCTTTGGCAATATTACTGATATAAATGTGAGGATATTTTTATCTAATTCGTTTACTCTAAATCGACACTCTGAAGTGGTGTTTTAGGAAGGTATATACTCATTGATACGCCAAAAATTTACCTCATAGAAATATTGTTTTTAGACCCCTTTCAGACAATTTCGAGTCGATTTACAAATGCGCGTTCTTATGTCTGTCTGTCAGACCGGCTGGTGCGCACGATAACTCTCGAAGGGAGTAACCGATTTCCTCCAAACTTTGCAAATCCTAATATTTCTTCGAAACTTAGTTCAACATTGAAGATATGGAATATCGGTCTACTCCTTCTGGTACCACACCCACAAAATGGTCAAAATTGTTCTAAAAAATAATATCATGCGAACGCACTATCAGATTTGAACCAGACTTTGTACAACCTTTTATCTTTACCAAGCCTGAAATAAGTCTGAACGTGGGATTGGCCAGCCCTCTCCTCTGGTACGTCCCTCACAAATGGTCAAAATTTATAAATGCAAAATCAGGCGAATGGAATTGAACCAACCTTTACACAACCTATTGTCTCCACCAAGCCTAAATCAAGGTTAATTGCTCTACTTCTTCTGGTACCTCTCCTACAAAGGCTCAATATTTATACCCTACACAAATATGTTGCCAGGGTATTATAGCTTTGTGCAGCCCCAAAAGTTTGTAACACCGCGAAATATTGGTCCTAGACCCACCTTTAAGTATACCAATCGTCATATCTCCGTCTGTCCGTAAATTTAAATTTTCCATGAGGATCCCGGTATGGCCAACTAATAATTTTCGGTGATGATCAGATACTAATTTTGGGAGGAATTAGGCCGAAAACTTAATTTTTGGTGTTTTTTTCGAAAGCCGAACATCACAACCCAATCCACCGTCAAGGGTACTCAATATTAGTAATATTTGTTGACCTCTAGTCGGTCAAGAGGGTGCAAATATTGCGAAATATTGCCAAGATAAGAATATAGAACCCCATAATGTTAGATTTTGGTGTAAGTTGTGTAAGGTATCATATGGGCGGCCCCGTCCGACTATACTGCTCCGTTCACTGGTTTATAAACCTGTAAATGTAATTTGAAGCAATTTGAATAACCGATTAAATCCGAAACCTCTTTGATAAAAACATATTCGTTGTATAAAGCGAATAATAAAATCCGAAGACGTCAGCAAACCATGGGCTGAGGGCGTTTTTATTTGTTTTCTAAGAAGGTTTGACAATTTTGAAGGAAAGTTTGACAAAACCAAATTATGACCCATTCAGTTGAAAAACGTGCCCAAACCGCAAAACACACTCAATAATGGAAGGTATAATTATATGGGGACTACCAGGAAACTTGGACCAATATTAATTTTTAAAATTAAGGTTTTCTCCTCAATAAGAATCCAAAATATAAAATTACAGTCAATTAGATTAAAATAAGTGGCCAAATTTTCCAAAATATCGAATTGTGGGATGTAGCTATATATGGGGACTACCCTAAAAAACTTGATAAAATTTTATACATTTTAGTAAAAATATTTTCTACCCAGTGAGAACCAAAATTACTAAATTACAGCGCCTAAGGTTAAAAAACGTACCCAAAGGCTTAAAAATGCCGAATAATGCGGAGTAACGTTATATGAGGACTATTCCGAAACCTGGGCCAATCTTAACATTTTTAGTAGGGAGATTTTCTGCTCAATGAGAATCCTTAATATTAAATTAAAGTCAATTCCGTTGAAAATGTATCCAAAAGCTTTCAAATACCTAATATTGTGGGTCGCGTAGTTATATGGGAGCTACCTCGGCAAAGTGTACCAATATATTTAATTTCTGGTAAAAATATTTTTTTATCTCCCCAGTAAGAACCAAATGTACCAAATTACAGCGGATTAAGTTAAAAAACCCACATAAAAGCTCCAAATACCGAATATTGTGGAGTAACGTTATATGAGGGCTATGTCGAAACATGGCCCAATAATTATAATTTTTGTCAGGGACATTTTCTGCCCAATGAGAATCCCTAATATTAAATCATAACAGATTCTGTTGAAAACCGCTCCCAAGAGCTCCAGAATACTGAATATTGAAGGTGGCTACCCCGAAAAAAATGGACCACTATAGACAATTTCTGTGAAAAATATTTTTGACCCAATAAGAAAACAATATCTTCAAAATACTGAAAATTTGGGATACCATTATCCCATCATAAATCATAAATGTGGACCTATATTCATAATTATTTGTAAGGAGATTTGAAGATTTAGTTCCAAGGTCTCACAATGTTTCCAATTCGGTTAACAAACTGGCAATTTGGTGGTACAGTTATATGGGGTCTACCCCAAAACGTAGACAGATTTATGTACCAAACATCCTAGGAGTAGTAGCTCTATCGTCATTCCAACAGACGAATGGACACGACTAAATCGACATGGAATTTTATTCTGCTCGATAATGTATCGCTCATTTCCTGCAGGAGCGACACAAATAAAAATATCGATTTTGCAGAAAATGTGAAATGGAGAGGTGTTGCAAACGGAATGACAAATGATGGAGGACATAACAACAAATTTCAATTATTAAATGTTATCAATCAGGTCAGTTTTTAAAAATTTTATTATTTACTAAAATTTTATTATATGTAATAAAATTTATTTATGGCATTTATAAAAAATCTTATTTTAATATCGGAGTATTTTTTTCATGGTCTTGTGACAAATTATTCTGGTCGTATGTGATCCGTTATCCATTGCATATAATGCGAGACATTTGCATAAATTCCCGGAACATTTGTCTCCCCACAATTGGACACACCCACAGTGACAACACCATATTGTATAAAACGTGACCATTCATTATAGATGCCCGTATATCCGATTGGTCCACCAGAATCACCTTTACAGGCATCAACTAAATTTTTTGCTCCGGCACATATATGAGTATGGTCCAACTGGTAAGTAAGACCAAATGGTCGCAGTTGATTTTGACAACTAATCAGATCGACTTGTGGTATAATGGCAACTCGAAGGACATCCGATGAATTTCCTTTAAATAAGAAGAGAACGAATTTAGAGACAAAAAAAAATTAATAGGAATATAATCGCCAATACAAACCTGTTTCTGTTCTACCCCAACCAGATAGAACATATTGTTCGTTTTCCTTTGTTCGTAGATTATCGTATATGGGCAAACAAATTGGTTTTATGTGACCTGAAAATATAAATTTTTTTAATAACTTATTTTTGGAATACTGTGAAAGTTTAATGAAAAGCTAATACTTACGATCGGGTTCTACCTTCCGCTCCAAACGCAACAAAGCAATATCATTGTAAACCGAGCGATATTTGGGATGTATAATAAATTCTGCAATACGAACTTCAACAGGCGCTGGAGCACATGTTGTCTGTGGACCCAATGTAACACAGTCGATGGGCGTACTTTTGCGATGTTCTCCCAGGCGAACATATAGTCTATGTATGAAAAACAAATAATAAACAACATTTATAACATTTTTGTAATATTTTTCTATGGAAACATTTCTTACATGGTCCTTTCTCTTCCTTTTACACAATGTGCAGCGGTTAGAACGTATTCTAGAAAAGAAATGAAAAATTAATTATTTTCAATATGTACAACTCTCCCGAACATAAACTACTTACGTTCACTTATTATGGAACCACCACATTTATATGGATCACGTTCATCGTCGTACACCAATAGGGCCATCCATGGAAAACCCATTAATCTTGCCTCATGACCATAGGTAACCTTTCTTATGGGATAAACTCCACATGTTTGTCTCTGGAGAACAGACATACCATCCGGATTTAATTGGACTTTGGATGTGGCACAGCAGACATGGGGCTTTGGAAAAATGTATATATAACATATTGATATACCTTATTTGGTAAAACATACCAGATTTCTAAAGGTGCCACAATGTAAACTTTGAATTTCGTCTCGTTCACTGGGTGTTATCACACGGCCACTCTCTTGAAGTTGTGTGAAAAATTCAAAAGCCGGTTGACATGATTTAACGGGTACACAAATACCTGCCACATTATCGGGTGTTGTACATGGATCGCCATATTCTGAAATACATTAGTATTTAATATAGGTTGCTTCTAGAAATTCAAATATCACTACATACCACATAAGCTCTGTGATATCAAAGGAACAAGAACCATTAGTCGAAATATCCTTGACATTTTTAACGGCTAGAAATTAAAATAATAATAATAAATATTTAAATTTAATATTTAAATAGAAGACAGCCGTGTAATTTTATTAACTGTTTTTAAAGCAAACAAAAATAGACGATGAATTTTTAATAAATATTTTATATATTAAAATTTATTTATATATTAAAAAGGCCACAAATAAATAGGCGTGGCGAACCCGATTTAATGTAAATGGTGTACCAAAGCCCCTATATATCTTTCGATTTGCACGAAATTTGGCATAACGTAATTAATTGAGAATATAATGATGTGTGTTAAGTTTCGTCCAAATCGGTTCAGATTTGGATATAGCTCCTATATATATATTTTCCTCCTATTTTTAGGAAATGATGCACCAAGGACCGAAAATATTGCCGCTATGCACAAAATGTGCATATATGATACATTTCACCAAAGTGGCAAAGCGTATCCGACTTTACTACTTTCTATACCATTCTTTTGAGAATAAGCATAGACCCACTTTCAAAGTCGATTTATGCATGTCCGTCCGTCTGTCCATGTTAAATTGTAAACAAAGTACAGGTCACATTTATGATTCGAATTGGATGAAATTTGGCACAGCTCATTTACTTGGCCCAAGGACGAACCCTATTGAAATTAAGAAAAATCGGTTGAGATTTAGATATAGCTCCCATATAAATTTCGTCCAACATTCAGTAAATGTTGCACCAAAGACCCAACATATTATTCGATTTGCACGAAATTTGGCATAGCGTACTAAATTAAGTCTAGAAAGATGTGTGTTATATTTCATGAAAATCGGTTTAGATTTACATATAGCTCCCATATATAATATCGTCCGATTTTATGTAAATGGTGCGCCAAAGTCCCTATGTATATTTCGATTTGCACAAAATTTGGCATAGCGTACTGTATTAAGTGCAGAATGATCTGTGTTAAGTTTCGTAAAAATCGGTTCAGATTTAGATATAGCTCCGATTTTATGTAAATGGTGCAGCAAAGTCCCTACATATCTTTCGATCTGCTGTGTGCCA